TATAATCCATCAAATCTCTGTCTGGTTTAAGCAATAGTGCGAAATTGATGTACTCACCATTCCATATTTTGTTTTTAATGTTGACAGGGACATTACAACCCAGGTTATCATCCACACTTTGTGTTGTTGTAGGTGGTGGCATATTTAACATGTCAACATTTTGAAACATGGGAATGCCTTGCGAATTATGAGGAGCAATTGGGTTACTAACCATGCTAGGAGCATTGTTATGATACTGGGATTGAGGGACATGATTTGGGTTACTAACCACGCTAGGTGCATTGTTATGACACTGGGATTGAGGGACATGATTTGAAATTACGGGAGGATACATTTGTGAGTGAACTGATGGGGTATATGTATTGTTAGGATAAAAACCAATTTGCACCGACTCACCTCCTGAAGGAGTAGTGGTAACAGGCGTTATCTCGTCGATAGCCTCTGGGACCACGTGGACCTCTGCTTCGGCCATGCTGCTGTCGCCATTTTCCCCGTCTCTAAGAACAGCACTATCAGACGTCGCATTGTTTGGAGCAACTTTCTGCGACCCTCGACGCCTCTGAGCAGACCCCCTTGCTTGCGACGACTGTCTGCTTGTTGTACTACCCTTCCGCTTGCTTCTCCGGCGACCCGACATCTCTCTTCCCAGCAAAATTGACAAAACTTACGTGTGGAAATAAAAAGCGTGTTACTGGTGTGGTTGTGTGAATGAAAACAGGATGTAGCAACTAAATTCAGCTGAAACATGGATTACTTCCCTTTGTTTAGTGCATGTGAAGAGCAAAGACTGAATAATACACTAATAATGTGCCTTACACTATTAAACCAGGAAGAGTAGCTTCCCTTTGACCCTGGACCACAAAAACAGGGGGAGAAGGCCCCTTGAATTGGAATAATGTAAGATTACCAAAATAATGCATTTTATTAGTTAGTAATAAACTTAATTATTTAATTTCAGATTAAATTTATTTTGGTTGAATTTTGTATAAAGCACCGTCAGGAAATAAGGCTAGTAATACGTCACTTTGTCAACAGTATGCCATCGAGGTGTTATGCACGTATCGCTCAACATGGCAGACACACCAGATACTGATTTACACGAACGGAATTAAGTTTTCAGACATTTATCATCCATACACCTTAACTATCACTATTTTAAACACATTAAAAATACGTTTAACCTAAGTTGCTTGCAATGAATCTTAATTCATAATTAAAATTAGTTTATCGGAAAAACTCAAATTTAAAACTCCATATTAATCCTGAAGGTTCTTTTACAAGATGAAAACGTAGTCCATTATTTATAAGTTAATAAGAACTCCATGTTAAAATCAACTAAACGGTAAATGGTTATGGATGAAATGTACTTTTTGAATTCTACAGTCTACAGCATTTAACAAGCTATGTAACCTTCACACAGTTCCAGCCAATATCATCTCTCATATATAGCAAAGACCCGTAAAGATCCGGGGTAGAATAGGTCTTCAGCAACCCATGCACAAGAAAAAATACCCATATATACCAAATATACAATTTTGTATATTTGATATTTCCAAAATATACAATTTTGTATAGTTGGTATTTCCAAAACTATACAATTTTGTATATATGGATAGATTTTACCACTGCTTCATTGAATTTTTTGAACTTGTAAGATTGTTTCTTGTGGTTTGAAACTAATGTTACCGAACAGTATTTTTGCACGTGACAATAATACGTTAATACTATTTTATTATGGCAACTATATTTGGTGTGTTATGAAATAATTTTTATTTCTTTATGTTGACAGCATTTTACATAAGAAATAGAACATTTGCGCAGATTTTAGTAACAGATAATGTTAATAATACCGCTGTCTTAATTAGATCGTGGTTTGAAAAAGCACTGTTTGTATAACGAAAGGCTGCTGCTGTTTTAATTAGGTCGGAGTTAGAAAAGCACTGTTTGTTTAACGAAAGGCTGCCGCTGTATAAACTTAATTGGGGTTAGAAAAGCACTGTTTGTACAACGAAAGGCTGCCGCTGTCTTAACTAGGTCGGGGTTAGAAAAGCACTGTTTGTATGGGGAAAGGCTGCCGCTGTCTTAACTAAATCGGGGTTAGAAAAAACACTGTTTGTATAGCGAATGACAGAAGCTGTCTTAAATAAATCGGGGTTAGAAAAGCACTGGTTGTATAAGGAGAGGCTTTCGCTGTCTAAACTAGAATAATCACTAAACGGAATAGCAAGAGAGTAGCCTTTTAGCGATTGTCACGATCATTGCAAAATAATAGATAAAAAATCCATGAATTTAAAATTGTACAAGGAAACATATATAGGAAACACATCGTTGGAATAAATTCCTATTATATTACGTTCACGACATTAGTTCTGGAGTTTTCAAAGTAAAATTTAATATATATGTTTCTGTGATTTCATGTAATGGTGATTCTAAATATGAAATATTGGTTGATATTGTTTGTCAAACAGTTGTACACACCGTCCATTGTGATACTTCTACTTAAGGATGTTTGTTTAGTCAATTGGCATGCGTTCATTGTAAACAAGGATCATTAGTGTGAAAGGATTACTAAGTTTGTCATCCAGTATAATGCACTTCCACGATTAGCATAATTAGAACAGAGTTTGTAATTAGGTACATCCGGACTCCAGTTAATCAAGGCAGCTACATCAGTTGAGAGTGTGAGCAACTGGAGAAGAGGCGAGCAACTCAATGTGATTAATGAATTAGTGGAATTTTAATAAATAAACGAACGCCTGTCGCAAAAATGCATTCGAACATTGAACACGCACAATCGCAGATTTCTATGGTACATTTGAGGGTGAACGTGAACGAAGCCGTGCAGGATGCCTAACAGCGATTTGTCTTCAGAACACACAGTGAGCTCAGGTGAGTTTATTAATGATGATATTTCTATTCATTCATAGATATGGCGATCATGAGCGCTGACACTATATGTGTTCGCAATAGAACATTTGGAAGACTAGACACATATTGATTCACTATATGACTACATCAAATCCAGTATTTGTTTAATGCAACAGGTTTAAAGCATTCAAAATTGTGCATTTTATAAAATACAATGTGTGTCGCTTCGTCTCCCATGTAAAATACATTAATTATTTGTTTTAAATATAATTTAATATTACTATGAGTTTTACATTATAACTAAAATTATGGAGTCTTGCATGTCGAACCAACAAACTATTGTACATATTAGTCACATTGGAATTTCTGTTTACTGTGTTTGCGGTGGGGTCCAGACAATTCCCCAAAGGGACAATTCCAAATACTACTGCGTAAAATATTAATGCTGATTTGGAGAAAATTACCAAATGGATGAAAGTAAGTAAAATTGAATCCAGAGAAAACAGAAGCTTTCTATTTCACGTTAAATCAAAGTCTTCCCAAGTGCAAAACCTAATCTTAAAATGAAAGGAATTAATATTTATGACTTTGGGAATAATATTTCAGTCAGATTCTCATATTTAAGAGTTAAAAAGGAAATCCCTATGATTAATTGCCTTAGAAGTCTTAGATACCTTTCTGGTGTCCACCGCCATAAACCATATACTCACTCACTCAGTTAAATAACTCCTTTCACATAAATCGTTAGAAGTTATGAACAAGCATATAATGCCCATATTTGGGATAATTGTACCAAGAACAAGAATTAATCCTAGAATCCTAAGATTCATTCCGGACGCTGAAATATTGCCGATGAGACGTTAAATTTTAACTCACTCACTCAATACGGACTATACGGACTATTTGTGGGGCGATAAAGGGTACAGGCCACGAGAAAATATATAGAGAAACTAACACAGCCATTACACCTTTTTACAAGATGGAAAACATCTTTGCTATTAGTAATTACATTTATAGAAATCAAACCAATATACAGGCTATATGTTGTAGAACAGAATGCTTTGCCAAGTTATTCCTACCTGATACCATTAATTAATGGAATAGTCACCTGATATAGAGGATTATTAAACTTGGACAGTGTGACTTATATACAGTTAAGCCATGATACCAGATTTTGTCACATAATCCTTTATCGCCTCGGACTCGGTTGTAGTAATTTAAACTTCCATCGGCTTAAAAGACAATATATTAAGAAACGATTCGCCTTTCTATTCTAAAGGCTAAGTGAGTTTATATTCAGTGGTTTATGGAAAACAATTTGTCAATTTAGCTATTTTGAAATCGGTCCATGTACATCCTACGTTCGGGTGAATTTGCACTAATGTTATAACTTAAGAATTAATTCATATTTTAAGACACGTATTGAGTATTAAACAGTTAAATAGCGTTTCTTAGTAATTGAACACCTTTCCATCGACCGCACCAAACTGTTGACCAATCGTTTTTCATGTATTCTACGACAAATAAGATCAGAACACGTGTATAATTACAACATCCCCAGGATACCAATAACAACGAAATGTACAGATTAACAAACATGACGAACATTATTATTTCATGATAATGTAGGTGTCATGCATGTAATTAAAGCTATATAAACACATGTTTAATTATTCAGTTTGTGTGAAGTCGGTCATAAATACAAACAAACAATTGATTCTGAAATTCTTTAATCATGTACTTTTAAGTATATTTTCCCAATATAATGTTATCCCCAAAAGGGCAATTATATTCATGTTATATTTATCAGTCATTTTTTTAATACGAATTACGTAACATTTATGCTGCTTTGATTTTATAAGACCAATGTTGTTGTTACAGATTCAGGGACCGACTAGGTTCCTTACATGTAATAAAAGTGCCGGGACATAATGTGGTGGCAATACATTCTCTAATTAACACCTGTCACAAAGGGACGGGCCAATTGGGTTTGTCCTCAGGGAATGTGTTATGCAATTTGTGTATTCACGAAATAACATTCAATAAGTCGGGTGATTTAGGATTGATGCATTTGTACTTCATATAAATAAATGAATTACATTATTTTCTTAATCGTGTGCAAAATACGCATAATGTCGGAAAGCGCAAGTTAATTCCCCAAATACTGACTTCGTTCCTAAATAAATCACAACCCTCACTTATAATTGTATCACTGTATCACTTTAAATTTTAATGATGTAAATCACGTATCTGTCACTTTTTAATGTAGAATACGTTAGTCACTCAACCAGTTCCACTATTATTTTCCCAAAAGATCAAAGATTAAAAACAGTTATCAAGATCTAATTTCCATATCGTTAGATATATTTAATCTTAACATTGAAACATCTTTATGTATTATTCTGTATTGAATGACATTAGAAATATGCTCCTATACCGCCGCTGGTGTCTTAATTTGCGAGAATTAAACATTTAGTTTGCATCCAACCATGCGCGTCCCGAATTATACAGCGGCAAGCTTTCAGAGCTCCAAATAAGTTTCCCAAAGTAGGAATTAAGCAAAATGAATATTTATCAAGTTTCCTTTTGCTAGAACATATGCATGCTGTTATGGTTATACAAAAAGAAAATTCTTCGTTCTCTCTGTTGTTAACAATATTAAAACAACAAGTGCTATAAAATATAATACGGAAATATATTACATATCATTTACGCATCCGGCTGCTCACAAAACAATGCTATTAAACAATATTTGTGTCCCAGGGACTGAATACCAATTAGACCAAGCCAGCTCTACAGATACTGACTCTCTCAAAGACAGCAAGCTACATTATACAGTTAATTGAAAACTGTAATCTCAAACATATCTAATGCTGCTTCAACACTTTATCATATACTTAGCAGTTGAATATTCTGTAAAATTTAAATTAATCCTCTATTAGTTTACAGTGACGATTCTTGCAAGCTATATAATGCAGGCACGGCCCGTTATGTACCATTCAATCTTTATCTTTCTCACTTTCTTATAAAGGCATAATGATCGATAATCTCTTCTGTTGCAGTGTGAAATGTTAATTTATTGTGAGTAAGGCTAATCCCTTTCTCCAGACATAAATTGATCACTCACCAACAACTGACAAGGGATTACTCCTCGTTAAGGCAATACTAAGCGATACAGTATACTGCAGATTAATTAACTAATTAAGGGTTAAATGAGATTGTTTACTTAGAGTGTGATGTAATCCGTTTGATGTCGAATTACAAAGAGTGAATCTTCAAAAAGGGTAAGCATACCCAACACTACCAGTAGCACCTGGCATTCCCAAATAGTGTTGTTCTAATACATCAAGCTATAATACTGACACGTTGCTTAAGGGTTATAAATTTGAATTTGATTTTCACATATTCTCCTCCATTGCCCATGAGCATATACATACATATGCATTATAAATTTGAAATGCAATTGTTAATAAAGTTGTTGTTTTTCTTCAGAAGAGTCGTAACCGAGGCCTCGGGATACGCCATCGCAACCTTCCCGTCCAGAAGAAACAGAGGTACGAGGACGCATTAAAGATAGCTCAGTTGATGCCCTCCGAGGAAAGTAACTATGACGAAGACGGCATAAAGATTTTTTACAGTACGACCAAAGAACTGCGAGTCGACGGAACTGCAGAAGGCGAAGAGGCTCGCAGATGAGACATACATTAAATAGCTGGACAGTACAGCAGCTTTCCCTAAGGCAAGACGTGTCCGTTGACCACCATCCAAAAACCCATTCCCTGACATAAAGAAGGATATGTCATGGGTCAATACCGAGTATGGAATCCCGTGGTGTAGTGTGGTGTGGTGTGGTGTGGTGTGGTGTGGTGTGTGTAACGTAATATATGTGGGTGGGTTAGTGACTGAATTTGCGGATGTGTGTTCGTTGTACTTCTATGGGGGGGATGGGTATTTTGTCTCAAAATGGTTGGTTGTTTAAATAGTGACACTTTAATAAACTATTCTTCTTATTCTTCTTCTTTTTGTTCATTGTCAAGATGCTGTGTATTACTTCCCAGACTGCTGACATGTGTTATCATTTTTTATCTTCAAATATCACGATGTTCCCACTGGTACCGTCATTATGTTGATTGCCTGATTGTTTAGAACTATCAGTTGCGATATGTTATATGATTGCTTTGTATAACATCGGCATGCTGTTCACTTTCATTTGGACTGGATGCTTTGCACAATAGTGATAGTATCTCACTGTTAATTATTTTTTATCATTTGCATTTACATAAGTAAAGAACATATCAATTTAATCTGAATATGTCAATGTGTCAATTTCTTGTTCTAAAAAGTACAGGTATAAGTATTCATATTCGACTTCTTATCATTTGTATTTGTAAGAATTTTTTTAAATTTTCTTGCGCCTGTTGTACATTACATTTATGGTCGTAGTTTGTTGACTTTGCTAACAATATTTGTCTGAGCCCCAAGAAATGTTTTGAACATTTGATTGCATTTTAAGCAATTTTGTGCCGTTTGGACAATATTCATACCATCAAATGTAACAGTGGCAAAAGTAAAAAAAACAAAGATGGCGGATGTAAAATTTCGGAGTTAAATCAGTACTTTTAAAAAATCGGGAATAGTTTCTGCGCACCCGACCACCTGGGTTCCAGCCACTAATGCCTAAGTCCACTTTTGCCTACAGTTACTATTGCCTACAAATAAATAAAAAAGTGTGGAATAATGCCTACACAATGAAAACAACATACCCATGCTAGGAATGAACTCTTTGAAATTTCTTTGAAATCATCATCTGCTGGTGTATATACTATAAGAACTAATGCAATGATGCAGAAATGATGCACTGATAGTAGGTGTCGCTGAAAATCACTGGTGCATGACTTTGTTTATTGTAGGCCGTATGCATTAGTGGAGGCACCTGGGAGCAATACTGCCACAAACGTGCAATGTCCCTTTCCCCATGTTGAAGCATATTGAGAAAAGCATACCTTTGTACTTATTATCTTTTGTAAAACATAAAACATTAATACGCTGAATAAACATTCATAGTTTTTTCACATGAACAACTGTAAAACATCTCATTCACTTATAAAGGACAACTTTATCATAAAAAAGTTATTATTGGATTATTAACAATTTCTGTGTGACATCTCACAAATACATAACAATTATCTCCCTTTACCAATATATACAAAGAAAACAAATTTGGATATACCATATATACAAATTTGTATATTTTTGTATATGTCGTATATACAAACTTGTATATTTTTGTATATATCATCATTCCAATCTTGTATATCCTTTGGAAATATCATCTTTCCAAAGGATATAAAAGCTTGTATATATGGATTTTTTTTTTGCAGTGATCGGATCATCTCATCCTTCAGCGGGAGATACAGATACGAACATCGGATCATCTCATCCTTCAGCCAGAGTTATAGGTGCGAACATAGGATCATCTCATCCTTCAGCCAGAGTTACAGGTACGAACATCGGATCATCTCATCCTTCAGCAGGAGATACAGGTACGAACATCGGATCTTCTCATCCTTCAGCCAGAGTTACAGGTGCGAACATCGGATCTTCTCATCCTTCAGCAAGAGTTACAGGTAAGAACATCGGATCTTCTCATCCTTCAGCCAGAGTTACAGGTACGAACATCGGATCATCTTATCCTTCAGCAGGAGATACAGGTACGAACATCGGATCTTCTCATCCTTCAGCCAGAGTTACAGGTGCGAACATCGGATCATCTTATCCTTCAGCAGGAGATACAGGTACGAACATCGGATCTTCTCATCCTTCAGCCAGAGTTATAGGTACGAACATCGGATCATCTCATCCTTCAGCAGGAGATACAGATACCGACATCGGATCATCTCATCCTTCAGCCAGAGTTACAGGTACGAACATCGGATCATCTCATCCTTCAGCCAGAGTTACAGGTACGACCATCGGATCATCTCATCCTTCAGCTAGAGTTATAGGTACGACCATCGGATCATCTTATCCTTCAGCAGGAGATACAGATACGAACATCGGATCATCTTATCCTTCAGCAGGAGATACAGATACGAACATCGGATCATCTCATCCTTCAGCCAGAGTTATAGGTGCGAACATCGGATCTTCTCATCCTTCAGCTAGAGTTACAGGTACGAACATCGGATCTTCTCATCCTTCAGCCAGAGTTATAGGTGCGAACATCGGATCTTCTTATCCTTCAGCAGGAGATACAGGTACGAACATCGGATCATCTCATCCTTCAGCAGGAGATACAGGTACGAACATCGGATCTTCTCATCCTTCAGCCAGAGTTATAGGTACGAACATCGGATCATCTCATCCTTCAGCCAGAGTTACAGGTACGAACATCGGATCATCTTATCCTTCAGCAGGAGATACACATACGAACATCGGATCATCTCATCCTTCAGCCAGAGTTATAGGTGCGAACATCGGATCTTCTCATCCTTCAGCTAGAGTTACAGGTACGAACATCGGATCATCTCATCCTTCAGCCAGCGTTATAGGTACGAACATCGGATCTTCTCATCCTTCAGCAGGAGATACAGGTACGAACATCGGATCATCTCATCCTTCAGCAGGAGATACAGGTACGAACATCGGATCTTCTCATCCTTCAGCCAGAGTTATAGGTACGAACATCGGATCATCTCATCCTTCAGCCAGAGTTACAGGTGCGAACATCGGATCTTCTCATCCTTCAACCAGAGTTACAGGTACGAACATCGGATCATCTTATCCTTCAGCAGGAGATACAGATACGAACATCGGATCATCTCATCCTTCAGCCAGAGTTATAGGTGCGAACATAGGATCATCTCATCCTTCAGCTAGAGTTACAGGTACGAACATCGGATCATCTCATCCTTCAGCAGGAGATACAGGTACGAACATCGGATCTTCTCATCCTTCAGCCAGAGTTACAGGTGCGAGCATCGGTTTTCTCTTCCTTCAGCTAGAGTTACAGGTACGAACATCGGATCTTCTCATCCTTCAGCCAGAGTTATAGGTACGAACATCGGATCTTCTCATCCTTCAGCCAGAGTTATAGGTGCGAACATCGGATCTTCTCATCCTTCAGCTAGAGTTACAGGTACGAACATCGGATCTTTCCATCCTTTAGCCAGAGTTACAGGTACGAACATCGGATCTTCTCATCCTTCAGCCAGAGTTACAGGTACGAACATTGGATCTTCTCATCCTTCAGCCAGAGTTACAGGTACGAACATCGGATCTTCTCATCCTTCAGCCAGAGTTACAGGTACGAACATTGGATCATCTCATCCTTCAGCTAGAGTTACAGGTACGAACATCGGATCATCTCATCCTTCAGCAGGAGATACAGGTACGAACATCGGATCATTTCATCCTTCAGCAGGAGATACGGGTACGCACATCGGGGCTTTTCGTCTTTCAGACAGACCGTCTCCGGGACTAGCTGGAGGAAGAAGCATTTGAAAGCTGTTTACGAGTAAAGAATTGTTTGTGAACATGTTATGTTCGTTTAAGTTAGCTTGGTATAACGCCACTTTGAACAGAAATATTTGTTCATGTATAAACAATATTGCCTTGATGGAAACTTCTCTTCTACAGTAATTACGGTGCCATCTCCATGTCATGGAAACAGGGAAAAGAGTTCCCGGTTATTTTACAGTTCTCAGTCCATTGCATTCTCGTACGATAAATAGCAAATAGAAATCTCAATAGATTTTTTTTATTCTCCGACTCCAAAGTAGAATTATCGCTTTCAACAACCGGTGCACACATAACTGTTTCCGGGCTACCGCCGCGTTTGATATTGTGTAAGTGTCGAATCATTTCTGTGATAGCTGTGAACACGTTGAATGTCATGTATTCTTTGCTATTGACAGTCCATTTATTTGTTAAAGACTATTAAAATCAATTATAAAGACAGTATAGTCAATGGAACCGAAATGTAAGAAAGATAAATAGCAAATAGAAATGTTTGAAGATTTCTTTTTTCTCTGACTCCAAAGTAGAATTATTATGACAGAAACAAGCTCATATATTTCAGAACAAGTTAAATATCGCATCAAACATTTGCCATCAATATTAATTTCTTGAAGATAATATAATCCCACGATACATTTCTCCAAACAGTCTCGGCTAATGACTTTGTACATTAATCTACATCGGACAATGTAAAGAAAAGTCAGTGAAGACAGACATCCCAGAAGTGGTCTTGGCGGAAGCTGCGAATGTCAAAAGATTAATCAGTGCGATTGTATTAATTTTACAGCTGGCATTACCCGACTGAAATGTGCATAGGTGAGACCCATTATGAAGCCAAAGGGTATAACAAATACAATGTTGTTGACGAATAAAGCAAAATCAATTGTGGAAATGGAAGGCACTGGCTCTTCATTTACAAACTCCGGTTGTTATATTTCTCAACCAGTCGCTGTATCACATCAGTAAGAGACGAAAACGGAAAGTAATTAGTCCGACAGTTAATATTCCTGTTGACAGGGATCTTTAAAAAATATAATTTGTTTAAAAAATATGATTTTAGCACCAGGTTTTAATGAGGGATGT